TTTACACAGCTTTTTAAATTTTACTTGTATCATGGGTGGGAGAGCTATTTCACAACCCTGGGCTTGTAACATTCTGCGTCAGAAGTGGCATTACGTAGGCCACAATATCCTCAGTTTCCTTATTCTTATTTATATTCTGTCATTGCTGAGCTAACTAGAGGGGTAAAAGGGGTGGTACCCATGTCAGAGACAGAGGGGAAGGAAAGTGGCCAACCAGTACATGCGTGTGCCTCAAATACAACTCGGGCTTTAGACTGAAGGCAGACGAGCCTAAAGCAGTACCTGTTTGGCCTGACCTGGAACAAGGGAGAGAATCTAAGAGTATGATGGTCAAAATGTATTCATTTCATCGCTGAAAACTCAGTTATCTCAAGGATTCCAGATAGTTGAGACTCATAAGGCAAGGGGTCAGAAGTCAAGTCCTAGCCCATCCGAATGCTGAATCTAAGTTTTCCTAACTGCAAAAGAAGTTCACGAGTAATTATTTCCTTATTACCTCCAAAAAGTGAGCAAAAATACTTCTCACTCTATATATCTCCTCAATCTATCAATAGGTTTTAACTCAACTTTAAGTAAAACTGAATTTTCTCAAAAAAAAGAAAAAAGACTTCTTTCTCTTTGTAGCATACTGTACATTTCAATAAGAAAATCATTTTTACAAAGAGATGTAAAACTCGGGGTCATAATTCCAAATTCCAATTAATTCATGTCATTTTTAAAAATTATGCTTTGTACTTTTCTAATGACAACATCTACTGTATTGTATATTATACATTCAGCCATCTTCTTTAAAAAGTTACATTATTATTTTTATTTTAATTAAAAAAAATTTTTTAATCCTTACCCAAGGATATTTTTTATTGATTTGAGAGAGGAACATCAATTGGTCGCCTCTCATCTGCACCAGACTGGAGACTGAACCCACAACCTAGGCATGTACCCTGACAGGGAATTGAACCTGTGACCTTTTGGTGTACAGGATGATGCTCCAACCAACTCAGCCACCAGCCAGGACTCAACATTGTTAAAAATAGAAAATTCCGTCAATGACATAAAGAACATGGTTACTCTATTGTACTAAAGTCACCATTTTATAGTTTCTCCTGACTAGAATCTGCATCATTGAGCTACTAATCAATCACCTTTAGGATGAAATGGTGATATTCCCTCCCAAAATCTGATCTACCATTCTTATAAAAGAAAGATAAAAATCTACATCACATTACTATATTGTGAACCTGTTATGAAAACAGTTCCTGAACAGTCCCACTCAAATGATTAAAGTCTGAAGAATAACCCAACATAGGGGGCATTAAAATGTAAATATGGAGTTTTAAGAAGAAAAACAGTAAGACTATCTTTTCAAGGTTAAAACAGTACCTGTCTTTACCTTTCTAGTAAGTAACAGAACTCCCTATCAAGGATACGCGAGGACACGGTTATAGCACCCCCACCTCTGCTCCATTAAGAAGAAAGGGCCAGCAGGTGAGGCCACCAAGTTGGTTGAAAATGTAGGCACAGCCTAACAGAGTTATCAAAAGCTGAAATTCTAGGTAAGCTTTGCACTCATAAATAAAGACCTGGGGGTGGGGGTGGAATCTGGAGAGGGCAAACATAAAGAAACAGTCAGAACAGAGGTGAATAAAAGGGAGTCTATGCAATACTAAAGAAAATGGGCTCTCAAATTAAAGAACCTGAATCAGACCAGCAGCAGGTCACAGAAAAGGTTTATTCTTAGTGTCATCTATACAGACTGTTGGTACACACACAGCAGGCCATATTAAGTGCTTTGATTAGAAACTGGACCTGTGGACCCAGACCAAAAACTACCTTACTCCTTCTGTGATGAAATACACGCTAAATAGAAACAACCTGACGCTTGTCTGCAGGGTTATGTATAGGTTGTGCCTCCCTCATTTAATTGTAGGGAACCTGAGGGCAGAAATTAATGCTGCTAATGATAATTAAGAAGGATTAAGATAATCATGTTAGACTGGCAAGAAATAATAGGGCCCAGAAGAAGAAACTACGTATTTGAAAGGAGGGGCAACAATTGGGAGCCTTGGGAAAACCTAGAGCTCTGAATCAGTATCTAGTTTTGCAAGTAATAGGAAACCGTATTTGCAATTGCTTTGACTAGTGATAGCTCATATGCCCAAATTCCCACACTGTCCTATGGAACTAAGGAGAACAAGAAAAAAGCACCTAATTTAAGACTGAGGAGTCAGGAAAAGGTTCTCAAGAAAAACAGCCCTAAACTAAGATGCTAAGGATTAATAGATGGAGCTGGTAAGGGCCAGAGGAAGAAGTTCTCTGTTAGAGGGAACTACAGTATTTTGCCGTGTATAATGTACTCCTATGTATAAAGTGCATCATTATTTTTCCCTCAAAAATGTGGGCAAAAAAGTACGTATTATACATGGAAAAATATGGTATTTTACAAAGACCAGGAAAAACAAAGAAAGCACAGTGAGTTCTAAAAACAGAATATTCCTCCATGGCTGAAGCAAACAGTGTAAGAGAAGGCACAAAGCATGAAAGAAAAAGAGAGAACATTAAAAATAGCCAGAGAGAAAAACAACAAAGAGACACTCAGACTGACAGGTGACTTCTCAATCACAACAATGGAAGCCAGAAGTCAGTGAAATGTTGTCTTTAAAAAAGCTGAGAAATTCTTAAACATATAAAGCAAAATGAAACATGTCCTCTGAATTGTGTGTACAGTGATGACGAGCACTTAAGCACCCAGTTGTAGTCTCTAAACATCATTGCCCACTAATCGGAATGACTAATGAGAAATTGATAAACAGCATCACAGAGGGAGATTTGCTACATCTCTCAATAACTAACCAAATAAGCAGAAAAAACCAGGAAGGAAATCCGAACACTACAATTAACAATGTTTGTGTGTATGAGTGTGCATGTGGGTGTACACACTCATGCATTTCAGGCTGAAGTAACAAAGCTACACAGGTATGGAAGTGGGAAAGTACAGGATTGCTCCAGGGAAAGCAAGAGTCTGTGGCAGCTGATACTATTAACAATACAGGTGAGAGTTGTATTGGCGAGTGTACTAAATGCAGGGGTAGGAATCATACAATAATTGAATGCTGAGGTAATGAAGAACCTACAATGGTAGAAGAAATGTAAAGTGAGAAATTAAAATATAAACTAGAGTTATACACTAAAGTGGAAATACAAATTATCAAGTGATGAAAAACAGTATATACACAATAATTACTATTTTTTAAAAGTGTGTGTGTGTGCCTGTGTGTGTGTATGTGTGTGTGTGTGAATACATGAATGTGTTTATGACACAAAGTTTGGCCACTGCAGAGGTGACAACATGGGGATGGGCAGGGAAGAGGGGAAAGTTGGATTTTCATTTTATCATGTTTTACTTTTTTACTGTTCTTCTTTTTTATAATGTATTATATTGCTTTTATAATATAAATAACAGTGAAATGAAAGATTAAAAAGATAAAAAAATACCTTCCTAAGGTGGAGGCTAGAGTTTAACTGCTAGTTTTTTACAGCTCTAATCAGCATTTCAAACAGTTACCAACAAGCCAGCCAATCTACTTCTATTACCTGACAGATATCAGGATACTTAGCCAGTGTGTGAGACTATATGAAAGGAAACTTTTAGAAAATAAATTTCCTAATATTCATCAGAACTGAATAACATGCTATAATCATCATGTGGCAATTTTACCTTAATAATTTTTAAAAGTATAAATGTTAACACATATTTGTTACAATTTATCCAACACTGAGATTATAAGAGAATTATATACAAATTACTTTGCATCTTGCTACTTATTCATCAGAACAATTTTTCAGTACATTTACCTTAATATATGCAAAATCACACTGAAACAGTTGTGCCTGGAGTAAAGACACTTCCGTTTGGAAACACTAGAGAATAAAAATCTCAGTCTAGAACAGCTAGGCTGACAAAAACGGTACAATAGGACAACAACCACCTGGTGGCTGCAGGACAACAGTTTTTCTGTGTGTCTGCTTATCTGTTTTGTTTTTATAATACATCTTTCTGAACTATAAGTCTATTAGCACGTTTGTTTAAACTATCATCAGTAGTCAAACAAGAATAAGCCTAAGTAACCTAAGGCACTCCATGCTCACCCGGGCCATGCCAAGCCAGTGCTCGGAGAAACCCCCAGAAGGCGCAGCGGGTGCCTCGCCGATCCAGCAGAGGGCTGAGTCAGACTCTGAACCGCCGCCTCAAGCAGCACTCACACAAATTAGATAAAGTGACCTATGAAGTCACTGTGCCCACCCCATCTCAGGAAATCTTGGTCCCAAGAAATTCTAACCAGTTTTTTGTCCAGACATACTTTTACTATACACAAAATGCACTTCACCAAAGCCCAAGAAGAGTATCTCATCAAAAGTCTTCATGTATAAGGATATTTTAATAATAAACTCCAACTTTCCACAGATTTACTAAGTTACCCTTACCTATAATATTTTTCTCTATCTAAAAATAGTAGCAAGTTGTTTTCCTCACTGGAACACCATCCTTCAGTTAATTAATTACAGGTTAGGACTGGGTCCTGGTCTAGACCCAAGCTTTGTTACAGGAACTACAATGTGTGAATGACGAACACATCAAGGTCCTTTACCGAGTGTTATCATTACCGGAGTTCATGCCCTACCACCACAATACCTAGTGTTTAAATATTTGTTGTGTTTTACTTTTGTTTTTTTAAAAACAGATATGTTCATTCAAAGGCAAGAGAGAAAATACACTCAGGATAAGAGCATCCTATCTTCTTCAAAATTCCCTATAGTTGAGATTTTTTTATTGTCTTATACACCGTCATTAATATGACTGCTTCATAGCTCTAACCACAGTTAGAAAAAATTGGAAGTAATAACAGCATGACTTTAGCAGGCAATTTAATATGACACAATGAGATAATTACTTTTTCCCCTAAAAGTTGACTACTTACTGTCAATATTCACTCAAAACTTACTTCCAATTCTTTAATTTTTTCTTCTGCTATTTTCTGTTTCTCTAACAGCTGATTGTGAATTACCTCCTTGGACTGAAGAATAAACCTAAAAAACACAAAAAAGCTGAAGATTAAGCCACGCAACCATCTTATTCATCAAAATCAACAGCTATATACCACCAATACTAAATTAAGAAAGCAAAAGAATAATCTCCCAATTCAGGACTAATTATATGTATTGTTATGTTAATATGACAAATTCCAGAAATCACCACAGGTTTAAGCCTTCTTGGCTTAGAAAGCTTAAAAGCTTAAAAGTAAATGTTCCCTTAACTAAGAAGGAAATCAGGCTTCAAGTAAATTCACAAATAAAAGGAAAAAACATAAAGGGATAAAAACTTAATAGAGGTTAAGAGAAAAGTTAACAATAAAAATCCCCTGTAATTTTTATTTTTCCAGCTATCTGTATCAACTTTTATATAGATATTTTTAAACAGTATTTATAAATTAAAGCTCTCCCTCCAGTGTTCTTTCTTTCTTTACTTATATATTTATTTTTTGTAGCAGCAGTAACTCATGACCTTTTAAAGTCACAATCAACTACTGTGTTAGGATCAATGCATTAGTGTTTATATGAGTTTCTAACACAAAAAGCGTTGTATAAAGCCTAGTATCTTTTATTATTATTTCCAGAGTGTGTAATACCTCTGAAAAGCTCAAAATGTACAAGTGGAAAATTTAAACGTTTTCCATTTTATAGTCAGGCATATTATTTACAATTGATGAGGGTGGAAATATGAGGAAGCTTTAAAAATTAACACAATCTGTTTTGGGACTTACATCAGTAATTCGTGCTGTAGGGAAAGGAAGAATAAAATTTTTTATAGCCTCCAGTAAGTGAACTGGAATATTTCCCCTCTACTGGAACCAAGGGAGAACCTCAACTACTCAAACCTCTTTCAGGACTGTCCAACTAGGCTGTAACAGATTTTGATTAAAGATTACAATTAATTAAACAGATTGTTTCTTCTCTTTGTACATAATTTAGATTCTAACAAAGAACTAAACACCATCTCTTAACAAACAGCCAAACAAGAAAAGTAAATCAAGGTGTCAACATGCAGTTTCCTCTACCAACCTTGTACAAACAAGTCTCAGCAGGTTCTTAGCAAGAGGGCATGTTATTTTAGATGAAAGACAAGCAGAAACAGACCAAAAAGGGCAACTCTTACTTTGCCTAGACACCTGGGAGGGAACTGCTTTCCCCCCACTTCTTCATGAATACACCTTGGCACAAGTATTAACACAGTCTCTTTCACTCCACTAATTATAAGCCTGTGTCCTTATGTGGACAGTCCAGATAATTTAACTCATCATCCTAGTCTTCAGTCATAACTTGATCCTTTGCAAAAATCTTACTCATATATTCATGCAAAACAAGAATTACTCTATAACCCTTTGTCCAAATGTTATTATTAGTCCAAGAGACAGGTGCTATTTTAATAAGATTATGTTATATAGAATACTTTTCTCAGAAATAATTGCAGACTTATGATGGTTTAACTTACAATTTTTTGAACTTACAATGGTATGAAAACAATACACATAATAAATTACATGAGATATTCAACACTTTACTATAAAATAGGCTCTGTTAAATGACTTTGCCCAAATGTAGGCCAATGTAAGTGTTGTAAGCACATTTAAGGTGGGCAAGGCTAAGCTAAGACGTTTAGTAGGTTAGATGTATTAAATGCATTTTAACTTATGATATTTTCAACTTTCAGTGGGTTTATCAGCACATAACCCTATCTCAAGCAGAAGAGCACCTGCATGTGGTGAAGGATCCCAGGAGAGGAGCTGTTTGGCACTGTACTCAGTCTCAGTGATGCCATGTAAAAAGTATAAATCTAGGCCCAAGAGTCACCAAATTATGTCATTCCATGAACAATATTTCTAAGAAAGTCTTTCAGCCATGGAAATCATATTCAGAGTAAAATATACATTTTTAAATAGCACTGATTGCTGCCCAGTGAGTAGTATCCTCAAATTCTTTATTAGTGTCTGGGAAATTTTCAAAGCTAAGATTAGAGGTCAAGTCATTACTTATGTGGCCTTTAAAAATAAAGTATCTGTACAGATACTAAATCCCTTGAGCAGAAAATAAAATTACTAGAAAGCAAGAACACACAACAACAAAACATGTTTTTCCATGGCCACACACCCGCAAGGTGCCCACACTGGACTGTGCCAACCTCAAAGGCCAAGAGAGATGCCACCACAGCTAGCCAACCTACCATAAGCCTAAGGACATCTGAGCCATGAGAGTTTTAAACAAGGATAAGTACTGAGTAAACTCAAGTGCCTACCTTAATGACATTTACACAGTCAAAATTCAAGCAAAAAAGTTATGGGAAATTTGGTTTAGTCCTCAAATTTAAAAATGTCAAACACACATGGTATGGAGATTGGAAAGGGCCCCAAGAAACATTTGGATTTCTGGAAAAAGTCTTTAGAAAATACCTTATCAATTGTTAACAAGGCACTGAATTACCAGATGCTATTTTGAAGATAAAGGATATATCATGACAATGTAATTATGGGGCACACATCATACATAAATACTATGTACACAGTTTCTAAAAGCAGAAGACCTCACAGAGATCCTGCCTGATCATTTATGGAAGGCCAAATAGCAGATAACAAATTCTGGAGTTCAGAATGTGCCACAAAGGAAAAAGGAACCATGAATAGGGAAGTTATTTTTACATAACAAATGATAGGCACAGAATGTGCTTACAATACTCAGGATGACATAATCTAGACTAGAGTCACTGTTTTGTAAAGGGCCTCTCGACACTGGAAATCAATGCCATGTGGCCCTGCACTGTCGACTCTCAAGGGCCTGAAGCCTGCTGTTTCATTTCCTCATTTATTTGCAATTATGCCATCCAAAAAACACACAATTGTATGATGGTCTTTGGCTGTGCTCTGAATTGTCCTGCAGACTGGAAAATGACTTCCACTTTGTTCATATACCCAAAATACAATCCAGGATCAGTGTCAATGATGTCTTTTGGGTACCCTTCCAAAGTATGGTCACCTGGACATACACATTCAGAGACAATAACATGCTTATGATAATGCATTCTGTTTGGGTGGGAAATTTTTAAAGCACATCTGAAAACATACTCTAATGGCATTTGGGGCATCCACAAATTAAATGGCACAGGAAACGCTGAAGAAGAATGAACTTATCTTGCTTCTTTGCCTCACCCCACTGGTGATGAAAACTACTTGCATGTGTGCACAAAGATATATGTTCAAAAAAATATTTTACTTCATAATTTTTTTAAGGAAAGGAAGGAAAGAAGGTAGGAAGGAATGAAGCGAGGGAGGGAGGGAGGGAGGAACCTAAATCCTTTAGTAAGGAAGCGATGAACAAATTATGCTACATCCATACTGGAGGATGCTGAATACACAGAGACTTCTCTTTATGGCATAATGCAGAGGAGATACCATGAACACTCTTCCTGGTTAAAAACAAAGCCAAAAAGTCCCATTTTAAAACACTCTGCTGAGCAAACATTGATGAAAAGTAGTAAAATCAGGAATTCTGGAAGGTAAGAAAGCAATAAATTCCCTTTCTTTAAAAACCCCTGAGAGCCCTGGCTGATGTGGCTCAGTGCACTGAGTGTCGGCCTGTGAACCAAAGGATTGCCACTCAATTCCCAGTCAGGGCACGTGGCTGGGTTGTGGGCCAGGTCCCCAGTAGGGGGTGTGCAAGAAGCAACCACACATTGATATTTCTTTCCCTCTCTTCCTCTCTCTAAAAATAAATAAAAATCTAAACAACAACAACAACAAAAACCTTAGAGTTTCTGCTGAATTCTAGAGAACTTAATTATGCACACTGACACAGAAACAGAAGATAAAATCTAGGGTCTATCCAAACTCAAGATGGTACTAGGAGAATTCCTGATTTAAGCCAGCTCCCCAAAGGATTCCATCTACATTCTAAGAGTGAAGAATAAATAAACTTACCTCTCATCAAAGTAAAATAGAAGAAATTTGTCTATCAATACCTCAGTAATGAAAAAACAAAAATGTTCCCAAGAATGTATAAGAGTAAATTGGCCTTCTCATAGGTTGTGGTTCAAATTCAACCTAATACATGGGCCAGAAAACCTCAAGCACAGAATATAAATACAATGTTCCCAATAGGAGGGTGGCAAAGTTCAAGTAAACTTGAAGATGGATTAATAAAAATTAAACTAGCCCTGGCTGGTGTAGCTCAGTGGATTGAGCACAGGCCTTCAAACCAAAGGATTGCTGGTTCGATTCCCAGTCAGGGCACATGCCTGGGTTGCAGGCCAGTTCCCCCCACTCCCAGTAGGGGGCACACAAGAGGCAACCACACATTGATGTTTCTCTCCCTCTCTTTCTCCTTCCCTTCCCCTCTCTCTATAAATACATAAATAAAATCTTAAAAAAAAAATAAATGAAAAACAAAGAGCAAAAAAGATGTGAAACACAATAAACAAAAAAGGAACATAGTACACAAGACCTAAGAGACAATAAGGAGCAGTCTAACGTATGTGTATTAAGACCCAGAAGAAAGGATAGAACAAGAGATTTTTCTAAAACAAATTTTTAAAAACCACAATTTAAAGACACTCAGAGAAACCCAAGCAAAATAAAAACAGCAACAAAAAACTAGAAGCAGCATAATCAAACTACTGAAAACCAAAGATAATCTTGAAGGCAGCCACAGAAAGATACATTACAAAAAACAAAGAGTTACAGCAAACATCTTATCACAAACTATGCAAGGCAGAAGATGATGAAATGACATTTTGAACAAAGCCAAAAAAAACCCAAGCTACTAACCCAGCATTACATACACAGTGAAAATAACTTTCAAAAAATAAAGGGTAAATTCAAACAAACAAAAGCTGAGAAAGTTGATTCTGGCAAATGAACACAATGAGAATGTTAGGGGTAGTACTTTCAGTAGAAGTATGACAGCACATGGCAACTTACAAGGAAATAAAAAGCACTGGAGACTTCAGTCAGGAAGGCGGCATAGGTAAACATGGCTGGCCT